TAGACACGGAAATCAATCAAGTGCAAAGACCTTATATATTTAGGCAGTTTTTAACATTGGTTTGTTTGTTTTGTTCCTTTTCTACGGATTTTCAGGTTGTTTAAAGCTAGAAAATATTTTTTTGATTGTAAGTGTTTTTGTAGGTTATAATGATTTAGCGATACATATACTAATTAACACATAGCACGGGGAAGAAGCGGTGGATCCATGCCTTTTCCGATGGTATTGCGCATAAGTGACTATAACGAATTCAACTAAAATTGGAACTCGGTTCTATGATTAACAATTTCAAACCTTTGTCTATTACACCACCGCACATCCCACCTTACAGCATTTGTTATTCCGATGCGATCGTTCATAAAGGTATTAAGAAAGATCGATTTCGATGATCGAAAGGGAACCGTTGTAATATGGCCGTAAACCCACGAAAATTTGGTTTCAGCATTCCGATAAATCGTAAAATCATGAGATTATCAGTAATGAAAAAAATATCCTCATAATAGGTATTTATATCTTTATATTTTATCACCTTATAGGACAAATCTAGCTTGAGTGGCTCTTGGGTTTTTCACTGGATGAAAAATAGTATAAAATTGGAAGGGCAGTGCGTTCCTAAGTTTTTTTTTCCTCTCTGGGTCGTATTTTAGGATTTAAAATTTGCTCTGGCCTCACGAAATTTCATGTGATAAAAATTAAATTTAGAATTAAAATAAAAAAAGAAGAAAGAAATAACCACGGATTTGAAGTCAGAACATTATCATTGATAACTCTCTTCTCCAATTTGCAGACCCCAGTTACTATATTCTTAATACTTGATAAAAATAACAGAATAATAAATTCGGTTAATAATTATTTATAACTATTTGTACAGGGATTTGTAAATACACTTAAAAGCAATCGATTTTTTTTTAATTTTCAAATCATTTATTTTTGTCATAATCATTTTTTGAATCTGTTTCTAAATCTTTGATTTTTTTTCAATCTTTCCGCCTCACCTGCTATCCTCTTCCATCGCACCTATGCTGTGTGCTACACCGTTTGTGAACGACTGCATTACACAGATATATCAATGAGTCAGGAACAACTAGCAGAATAAAAGAGACATTGCACTGGAATACTAAAGAAATAAGGCACTGTCAAAATTCATATTTTTCTTTTCAAAAAACGAGGTAAAATTAATATGAGTAATTTAGAAAGATATATAGAAAAGAATTGCTAAGTTAGCCTAAGGTGGTTAGAATGGGTTTACAAGAAAAAAGATGAAACTATTTCAGATATGATGTCGGAATGTTTCAGCTTTTCAAAGAAGGTTTACCAAAATGGGAATCATGACAAAATAATTGCTCTTTTACACAGGAAAATTCGCAAAAAATTACATTTCAGTGTACAGATAAATGGCAAAATCATAAGCCGGGGAGGATACTCAATAATGAAATGGCATAAGATATGAGATATGAAGTTTGAAACAGAAAAGAAATGTCGCTATAGATTCGCCTTCGGATATCAGGTTCCCGACAAAGAAGATTTATTTTGGTGCCTTATTGATGTAGTTTATCCGTTTCATACCAAAGTAGTCGTGAAAGAATTATAAAAACTCTAAAGATTTCAAGAATGAAACCGAAATTATTTGGAATTACCAAAGAGTAGATGAGATAATAAAAAGACAGAATTTATTGAGAACTACAAGGGACTGGAAGTTGGGGAGGGCCATGGCCACCAAATTCCTAAACGAACACGACACCTAGAAGAAGATGTGACTATTGTTGCCTAAGGATCAATTCCACAGAATGTAGCACATTAGTTTAAATTTATTATATATATATATATATATATATATATATATATATATATATATATACTCTCTCGACTCTCACGTCGAATTCGACGTCCTAGGGTCAAGCAGATCAGTTTCCAGGAAACCGACAGCCCGACAACGGGGCACGAGATTTGATTATAGTGGTGAAGTTTCCGTGCAGGACCATCCACACTTTTTGAAGGGCCGATTACAGAGACCTGGTGCACTCTGTGACACAAGGTCCCCAAATGACCCTCTGCAGGTTTTGAAGTGAGAGTTATCCTTCTCCTAGACCAGTTGTCATCCAAGGCTATAGAACCCAGTCTGTCCTGCTTTTACCCATAGCTGGAGGGAGAAGAAGAGGATTCACACCTTTCCCAAAAGTATTAGTACGTAAGTGAATGTAATGGATTCGACTGGAATTCGAACTCGGCTCTCCGATTCCTCAATCCAAGCCGCTATCCATTACTCCATCAGTTTGGCTAGACATCCGATTACTTCAAGCCGGGATCGAAACCTGGTTGATTTAGTATCAGTTGGAGATTCTAACCCTAAGTTATTATTAAGCCAGGCAGAGAGGAAGGTGAATTTTAGCATATTGATCGAGATGACTAAATTCGTTAGAAGAGTCAGCAGTAAGTAATCACTGTTTACTAATTCGCCCTTTCTCTCCAAAGTGCTCAACCGAATTAATTTTTAGGGATATATATATATATATATATATATATATATATATATATATATATATATGTATGTATATAATATGAAGTGTAATAATAGTTCTAGATATTTTACGAGGCATGAATACTGTGGATACGTGTCCGAATAGTTACATTGTTTACATTACAACCATGAGACCCAAATTTTCGAGCACAACATGGTCGATTTTTCAGACAACAGAATTCCCGATGTTACCAGTTTCCGGAGTCGATCCTAGCGTGCGGAAGTTTTGGCAATTCCAGATGAAATGGAGATAATGTTTCACTTCGAACATCGGTAATGGTTGTGCAAGCAGAAAGTCACATGTCAATGTAACTGAGTGTGTGAGCATACTGCTCTTGTCCAAAGTCATGACCATGCCAGAAACACTGTCACCATATGCTGGGACCAAGTAAATGGTTAAAGAAATAACAAAACAAGTGTTGCAAATATATCATATATTAAACATTAAGTACAACAAAAGAGTATTACACGACTAGTGAGTGTATGTCGGTTGACTTAGCGCTCAATCTATTAGACTGTTAATATTTAACAGCCCACTGACCACGAGGGATGTATGTTTCACTAGGCCGAGGTTACCGTGGGTTCTGCGAGCCCGTAGGCTCAGCCAAAAATAATCCCTTACAACCCACATAAACGGGTTCAGGGCGTCCACCTCCCCGGACGAAACTTTGCCCTTCGGCACAGCCTCATCCGGATTCATCTCCGCTCAAGGAAAATCGTTTGACAGTTAAACAATCTGGTCATTTGTTATATTTAACAGTCCTCCCTTCAGGGGGATGTATGTGACACAAGACATTAGTTTACCGTAGGTTCTCCGAGCCCGTAGGCTCAGCCAAAAATATTTCCTTAGAACCTGCATAAACGAGTTCAGGGCCTGTCTACTTCCCCGGACGAAACTTTTCCCTTCGACAAAGCCTCGTCTTGGTTCCTCTCTGCTCAAGGCAAAGAGTTCGACAGATGAACAATGTGGTCGACTATTAATATTTAACAGCCACCCCCAAGAGGGATGTATGTGACACAAGACCGAGTTTACCGTGGGTTCTTCGAGCACGTAGGCTCGGCCAAAAATATTCCCTTAGAACCTGCATAAATGGGTTTAGGACCTGTCTACCTCTCTGGACGAAACTTTGCCCTTCGGCAAAGCCTCGTACGGATTCCTCTGTGCCGAGGCAGAGAGTTCGACATTTACGAACCGTCTAGTCGACTGTTATATTTAACACTCCTCCCCACATGATTGATGTATGTGATACTAGACCGAGTTTACCGTGGGTTCTCCGAGCCCGTAGTTTCAGCCAAAAATATTCCCTTACCACCCGCATAAACGGGTCCAGGGCCTGTATACGCCCCCGGACAAAACTTTGCCCTTCGCAAAGCCTCGTCCGAGTTCCTCACTGCCGAGGCAGAGAGTTCGACAGTTTGAATAATCTGGTCGAATGTTCCCCAAAACTTCTCTCCTACTAATCTTATATTAGGCAGAAGAGTCCAACATAGTCTCTTTAGAGGAGGGACACCACAACACCACAGTGAAATCTGGTTCTGTGAGTTTTGTGCAAACACATATGTGACGGAATAGATGATTGCAACAGGGATTGATTGATGATTCATTTTTGAAACGCCGCTCATTATCCAATAAGAAGCTAGTCAGTATTCAAAAAAAATGCTGGTAATCATTCAACAAAAAAGACTGGTAGTGGATAATTCTCTTTAAAAATTAACTATTAATTATTATAATTAGAGTGTAACGTTGAATTTTATATCCTTTTTTAAAATATCATTAGTAACCTTTTAACGGGTTATAATGCAAGTTTCTGTTTGTATTTCGATCAAATTCAACCTTTCTAAAATTTGATTTTATACTGACACAAGAACAGCTTATCAAGTGTCGTCTGGATAGTTGCAAACGTGACAAAGGAAGACTTTCTTGGTTCGCTTTTCAATAAACCAATCTCAATTTACAGATTCTTTAAGAGAATGCCAGACAGGTATTAAGCAAGATACAGATGTCTAGAATATCAATTTAAAATGGTTTTAAGACGCTCAACAGAAAGTTTAACTTGTTTTAATGTCGAGGTATTTGAGAGAAGACTTTCTTAATGTCGAATTTGGCTGCGTGCTAATTAGTTTGATGTGGACATGGCGTCTTAATCTTTATTTAGTTTTTTTTTAGGTTTCTTGTGATTGAATTTTCTTATCAGCAAAGAATGTCGGCTCTTTAATGATAATTCAAATTTGAAAAGCTTTAATCTTTGTCATAAAAGTGTAACTTCTACCGAAAGGCTGTCATATTCTTTCAGAGCGATTTTCTGGGAATATTCTTTTTGTAAATAAAGTGTGGCAGTCTTTTGTAACCAGCGGCTAATATATTTCAATGAACAAATGGACGTTTGTGATGGGTGTTTGAGCCAGTGGATAAAAAAAATAAAATGATTTATTCAGTAATGCGAAAGATAAATGGCTTTGGTAGATTTAAACAAGTGGTTTTCTAGAAAGAAAGAAAGAAAGAAAGAAAGAAAGAAAGAAAGAAAGAAAGAAAGACACAAGCAAACAATGAAAGAAAAATCGTAAAAATAAAATCAAAAAAAGAAAAAGAAATCAAAAAGAAAGAAGAGTAAGAGGAGAAAGACAAAGAAAGAAAAAGAAAGAACAAACAAAGAAACAAAGAAAAACAGTAAAAAAGAAAGAGCAAAAGAAAAGAAGAGAAATGAAGAAAGAGAGAAGAAAAAGAAAGAAAGAAGAAAGCAAAGAAAAAAGAAAGAAAACGAAAAAGAGAAACAAAGAAACAAAGAAAAATAGTAAAAAGAAAGAATGAAAGAAATGAAGAAAGAAAGAAGAGAAAGAAAGTTAAAGAGAATGAAGAAAGTAATGAAAGAAATGAAAATAAAAGAAAAATAGGAAGAAACAAAGCCAAAATAGAAAAAGAAATATTAAAAGAGAGAACCAAAGAAAGGAAAAGAGAAAGAAAGAAAGAAAGAAAGAAAGAGGGAAAAAACAAATAAAGAAAGAAAAAAATGAAGAAAGTAAAAGAGAAAGAAAGAAAGAAAGAAAGAAAAGAAAGAAGGAAAGAAAAAGCAAAAATAAATGAAACGAAAAGTAGAAATAATGAAAATTCGCAAAAAGAGAGGAAATTAAATGAAGAAAGAAAAATAAAAAAATAAAATAAATTAAACATAAAGACAGAAAGGAAGAATAAAAAATAATAAAAGAAGCAGAGAAGGAAGAAGAATAAGATGATGACGATGACGATGATGGTGATGAAGAACAAAAACAACAATAAAAAAGATAAAACAACATATATCTGGATGGTGCAATTTGTTAAAATTCAAAAGAAAATTAAAGAGAAACTTAATTTCACTTCCACAAAAAATAAAAATAAAACTTAAAAGAAAATCAAATTCACTGAGAAAGATAAAATTATTAAAAATTAAAATCATAAAATCGATGCTACAGCATAGTTTATAAAAGCACATGGGAACAAACACCTTTACAACGTCAATATACACTCTAAAGTGATGAGCGAGAATAGGCCTAAGAGCATAGAGTGAGATTAGTTCAGAATTCTCGTAGGTTACCCGGATCTATAGTCACCTGATGAAACCCCGATGGCGGAACGGTCGAAACAATATGATAACAAAAATAAAGATGTAGCCACTAAGTCTATATAAGTCTACCCTTTGTCCATGCTTAGAATATTGCTGCCACATATGGTCTCGTCTCTCTGACATTCACTTTAATCTTCTTCATAAAATCCAAAGACGAATCAGCAATAATACTGGTCCTGATCCGTAAGGTTGCCTCTCTCTGCCCTTTTTTAAGTACTTTCATGGTAATTGTTCAGATGACCTCTTCTTCTAAGCTATGGTCGCTAGATATGTTGAATTTAAGGGAAGGCACGGTGGAATAATGGATAACGGCTCAGATTGAGGAATCAGAGAGCCGAGTTCGAATTCCAGTCAAATCCATTACATTTACTTAAGTGCTCTGTGTATGGATCTTCTTCTTCCCCTCCCCTCAGCTATGGGTAAGTAGCAGAACAGGCCGGGTTCTATAGCCTTGGATATCAACTGGCCTACCGCAGAAAGAAATAGCAAACTTCTGCGGGAAAAAAAAATCTGCCACGTCAGTCATTATCTGTCTATATTTCTGAGATGAGGTATTATGTACACTATTTACATTATTCGAACTATTGTCCTCATCTTAACAGGAAATTACTGACATCCATTAGACATAGCACGTGGAACTAGAACAATCTACCCCAGTGAGCAAAATAAAGGGTTCAGTTCGACATTCAAACCACCTGAATAAGGCCGGAGCGTACAACGGCCGAAACGTTGTGATAAACATCTCGACAAAGATGAGGCAAATAGTCCGAATAATGTAAATAGTGCTCGTCAGTCATGTATCGAAAGGTACATGATCGCCTAAGCGTGTATCATGTATGGCATATAGATGACTGACTAGACTGGCGTCGAGATCGCATCAGTTTTCAGTTGAGGTAGCTCGATGTAGAGGCAAATTCTACGCTAACATTCTCTTTTCTCGCACTTCATGCTTGGGGAACTCCCTTCCGGCTCTATGCTTTTCAGCCAGTGTGCAAAAGTTTAAAAGCAATGTCGATCGTTGTTTTCCTGATTGCCTTTTCTCTTCGCACTCATTATTAATGGTTCTGTTGTTAATTGTTTCACAACCTGTAACTTACCCTCCCCGTGTCTTGACTGGGGTGATACCGATATTTAAAAAGCCTAGTCCCAATGTAATTACAGTAAATACGGAAGAAATTATTTATAATGGCCGCATAGAACCAAAGGAATTAATCAGGCAAAGATAACGAACAATTCCGCAAACCCAATATGTACATTATGAGATCTTGTTGAACTATTGAGCATGTTCTGTTTGACTCTCCAATCTTGGCCCTAATGACTACCAAGATTGTTATGATCGAATTAATCAATATATTAATAAGAGGATATATCAATAATGCTGGGGATTACATGCAGAGAATTGCATGAATATCAACCTGAACCAGACATAGAAGATAACACAAATATTTCTCATGGCAGACATAAAAATTTTCATATCACAAGTTTTGATTAAAGACAAATAATACGTGACCAAGTGGTTAGAAACTTCGCTTTTCAACTGTTGTAATTTTATCTCATGCTCGTCGCCAAAATTTTGTAACCTAAGGAAGGCTACTAAATAGAATAATCACACGACGGTTGGTGATGAACGATAATACTTAGGACAAGAACAACACATATAAGATTCGCCAGCAGCGCGTAGAAGTAGTCAACAGCCAGAAGTGAGTCAAGTGAATTCCACAATGAATCTCAAACTGCAGGATATCTACCAACCGCTCCACGCGATCAGATGTTTTACAAGGCCGAATTTAATGTGGGGTATCCGAGCCCGTAGGCTCGGCTAAAAATCACCGTAGAACGCGTATAAAACGGTGTCGGGTAGCAGTTTCCCGAGACGAGACTCTGCACTTCCACATAGGTTCGTCTGGTGGTCCTCTCTGTCGGGTAGCAGAGAGATTATCCAGCGCAACTGAAAACGAATCTCAAACTGCAGGATATTTACCAACCGCCCCACGCGGTCAGATGTGTTGCTAGACCGAACTTAATGTGGGGTACCGGAGCCCGTAAGCTCGTCCCAAAATTTCCCGTCGACCCAGTATAAAATGCCTTCGGGTAGCTGTTTCGCGAGACGAGATTCTGTCCTTCGACATAGATTCGTCTATAGATCCTCTCTGACCGGAGTCAAAGAGTTTGACAAGCACAGCGGGATACGAATCTTCAACTGTAGACCAACATACAGTATTTACTATTGTATTTATGTGAATGGGGTCATACCCATTATCGTCCGTAGGCATGCTACATCACCGATCATCAAACCTGGATTCGAATCTCGCCATATTCCATTTCTTGATGCTATCATCTTGGGGAGGCTATCCCAGAGTGCACCAGTTTCTGAAATATACTGTAAACAATACCACGTGTTGACCCAAACATTGTGAGTGAAATTGTTTAGACGAAACTAACTGGGAGCCATTGATGGTTGCATTAGCAACCTGACCGAGATTGTAAGGGTACTGGCAATGTCCATACTATTGATCACGCAAAATAATGCACTCTCTCCCAGAAACTAACAAAAGCCGGCTCAGCATAGTATAAACCCCATGTGGACTCTGTGGTTGTTGAACAAACACAATTATGCTTGAAATGACGTCCGCGACAGAGATTGGCTAGACCCCTAGTAGGCAAGCAGACGTGGATATGTCCGGCCAAACATTATATGTATTTTTTTTTTTTTAAAAATATATGACAGTACCAGTAATTATAAAGTTTCTGAAATTGAAATTGAAAATAAGATATACATTATAACTTCTTGTATACTGTTATGGTCCGGTTCCTTGAACCACGGAGAACCAATAAAGAAGAACTCGAACACAGGTATGGAATAACACAGATATATTACAAACAGGAATATATACAGAGAAGTAAAAGTGTTAGTATGAACAATCAGGTTTAGTAGAGAGAACAATGTAGTCTCGACCAGTATCACTATTCCAATGTCTTGCAGTAATTGTCTGAACGCGATTCTGTTTCGGACTGCCTCTGACTCGACTCTTGACTCGACTTGAAATACTGACCCGACTTGAACTACTGACGATATTCAGTCACCCCCCACACCACGAGGGTGTAATGTGGCACAAGGCCTTTTTAACGTGGGCTCGGCCAAAAATATGCCCATTGAACCCGTATAAACGTGTTCAGGGTCGGTTTACCTCCCTGAAAGAGAATCCGCCCCTCAGCGTAGCCTCTTTCGGGTTCCACCCAACCCGAAGGCAGAAAGTTCAACCGATCTGTCGTTCAAGACTTGAACTACTGACTCTGCCTACTCCTGAGGCGCAGTATTTATTAAGTATGGAATAGTCCATTATTATTATTATGGGTAATATCCCATAACATATACCATTGACAAATGAAGCAATGGCTGTGATAAAGGAAAAAAAAAAAAAAAACATTTACATGTTTCCAGGTTGCTCCTGTTAAAAGGGATTCAAAAATATTTTGTGTGAAATTGCTCATCTATTCAGCTATTATGGATTATTCTAGTACTGCGGAGGACTTTTGCGCCTTCAGCTTCCTGGTAAGAATTTAGAAATAATAAAATTATTTTATCTTTATTCGACACATTAATTCGGCATAATCTTTCTTCGTATACGCAACCGATCTCTATAATTTGTTTACATTTATTTTACCCGCAATTTTGTTTTTTTTCTTTTAAAATCACCATACTTTATGATTCCTTCGCGTAAAGTTACTCTTAAAAGATATAAGAGAATCCAAACTATGTAGTATTTCGATTAAGTCACGATACGCGTGCCAGGAAAAGAAAAAAAACATATGAGCAACATACCATGCCCCACTTAAAGTTAATTACGATTTAATTAGATGATATCAATTGAGACGAAAAGCAAAATTAAAGTTAAACCTTTCATAATTTGTTTTTTAAATCTTTCACTCTTCTCGATATTTAAATTTAACTTTAAATGAGGTATTTATTTAATTTCTAATCACGTGTAACTACAGTAGTTACTACCTGTTACTTCAGGTTGTTTGTGATTCGCCGCGATCGAAAAATGGACGGACGGACACACATACACTGCACTTTCTTTATATAGAAGATGTGAAAATATAAAAACAATTTCGGTACAAACTAAGAAAAATCTGTTATGTAATATAACTACTCGTATATGGCAGTGAATGCTGGACAATCAAAAATGAAGAAAAGACTTGAGAAAAAAGAAATGTGATTCTACAGGATGAGTCTGAGATGACTATGAATGGAGCATAGGAGTAATATTCGGATTGAGTGATTGGTTGATTTATTTTACGGCTTATCAACACTTTGCAGGCTATTTAATTTCGTTTGTTTTGTTTTATGGCATATCAACCTCAATAGGTTATTTAATGCCGACAAAATTATTCTTTTTGCTGGTAATATTTTGTTTTGTCAAAAATCTATTTCTGGAAATATGTTTTCCTTCAAAAATGTATTGCTGGTAATATTTTTTTCCAAACTGTATTGGTGGTAATAATTTTTTTCAAAAAAGGATTTCTGATAATATTTTTTTCCTTAAAAATGTATAACTGGTAATATTTT